TTTATAGCCTTCTGATGGCATGGTGCTAATGATCTAATATTAGTGTTCTCTCTGCAGGGTAAAAATGATTATTTGGCTTCTACATATTCTCCCCTTTTTAAGAGTTTAACTCCTTTTGTTTTACAAAATTAGCTTGACAAAAGTAAGCTGAAGCCAGGAACAAGAGTTGCTTTGGATATGACTACACTAACTATCATGAGGTAAGTTTCTGATTCTAATTAGTTTATTTTCACAGAGGGAAAATTTTGTCCAAAATATGTTTTTAGAGATCACTGAATATTTTGCCACTTCTCCTTTTACTAATTTCTAATTAGTTTAAACATTTTTAAATAAAATCACCTAAATGTGCTTGCAGCATTTATACTCTTATCTGTAGGCTGAGAGAAAATTCATTTTAAAAAGAAAAATACATACCTTGTCATTATAGGTATTTGCCAAGAGAGGTGGATCCATTGGTTTACAACATGTCTCATGAAGACCCTGGGAATGTGTCCTATTCTGAGATTGGAGGGCTATCAGAACAGATTCGGGAATTAAGAGAGGTTGGTAGTGTATGCTTTGTTTCTGAACTTTCCTGAAGGGAGAAAAGGGATGAAAAATTACTTTGTCCAAATAGTGGTTACTGAATATTATACATTTAATATTCTTGCTGAGAAGAACTGTACTGAATTTCTAGCTGTGAAAATTATATGTGTTTGTTAATGTGGAGATAATTTGATGTTAGAAAAATCCTTCTCTTTTTGACTGAGAATCTATCTTCTATATATTTATTTTTTACATATATAAAAGGCTAATATGCAAAGTATCCCTCGGGGTTCAAGTGGGAATTCGATTGCTCACTATGACGTGTGCTGACCACCAGGGGGTGGCACGGAATAAAGGAAGGCCCCAGCCAGCAGCCAGAAGGCCCTTATAGGCCCTGATCGCCAGCCAGACCTAGGGACCCTACCCGTGCATGAACTTCGTGCACTAGTCCTCTAGTAATTGATATAATTCAATGCTCATTCCTCTGTGATTTTATTATCATAGCAGGTTATTTGGTCAAAGCACATTTAGATAATGTGTAATATAGTTTTTCCCATACCCTTATTATTGTTAGCTTCCCACCCTTATAGTAGAGTAAGTTACCTGTGCCCTAAATATTTTCTTTTGGTAAAGCTGTTTACTGCTGTTTAAGAAAAATACTGGCTTTAAGGTGGCTTAAATATGGAAGTTTTATATACTTTTTTACTTAGTGGCAGTTATAACTTACCAAATTCCCCATTTTAGAATTATTTTGTACTAGAGCAGTGATGGTGAACCTATGACACACGTGTCAGAGGTGACCCCCACACTCCAGTTCCTGTAAAGGATCGGCCAGCATCCTGGTCCTGACCCGGGGTGGCACCGCCAGGGCTGGGTCACTGGACGAAGGCACTGACCCAAACGGGTCTGGGTTCATCAGCCTGTTTACCAAGACGTTGCCGGGCCCACCAGGACGGGCGATGGGTCCTCGTCTTAACCCAGAGGAGACCCAAATGCAAAATAGTATATGTCTTTTGATTTTGATGCTTAACTGATTGCTATTGTAGTGAAATTTTTTTTCATTGAGGTATAACTTACATTAAATAAGATGCATAGATTTAGCCCGAGTTAGTTTGGCTCAGTGAATAGAAAGTCAGCCTGCAGACCAAAGGGTCCCGGGTTTGATTCCAACAAGGGCATGTACCTCTGTTGCAGGCTCCACCTAGGCCTGCAGTGCAGGAGGTAACCCAACTGATGTATTTCTCTCTGCCTTTTCCTCTCTCTTCTACTTCCTCTAAAAATCAATGGGAAAATATCCTCAGATGAGTGTTAAAAAAAATCATAGATTTAAAGTGCACAGTTCAAATGTGTTTGGACAGATTATATACCTATATAACCATCACTCTAGTCAAGAGTGTAGTTTGTTAAAATAACCACACACTTTAATTAATTAATTTAAAAATATTTAATATTTTTTAGATGTAAGAGATATCTAAGAGAAACCTCTAATATAAATAGTTTTACATAACATGGGATTCTAGCTCTATTATGAATTGTGATGTGTATACCTAACTATACTGATACTTTTACTTAAACTATTTGAAAGTACATCAAAATCTTTACCAATGTTTAAGAAACATGCAACTTCTTTTCTAGGTGATAGAATTACCTCTTACAAACCCAGAATTATTCCAACGTGTAGGAATAATACCTCCAAAAGGCTGTTTGCTATATGGACCACCAGGTTGGTATTAATTATGTCCACCTCACGAATGAATGAATCAAGGAATAAAAAAATAAGTTGGAAATTTCATGTGGGCAATTCCAACCTCCACACTGTTGGGGGTAAGGAGAGATAGAAGATGTGTGTCTGCTGTCTCTCAGCATGCTTAGTCCCCTTGGGCCTCATACATAGGATACACAATTGACCCTTGAGCAACATCGTATTGGAGGCGCTGACCCCCCCCCAACACACACACACACACACACACACACACACAGTCAAAAATCTGCATATAACTTAAAATCCCTTGGTATCCTCAGGCACTGGTTCTAGGACCCACAGGGACACCACAATGTGCAGATGCTCAAGTCCCTTACATGAAATGGCATAGATCAATCTCCCTGTGTGCAGATTCCCAACTGCAAATGAAAGCAGTATTGGTACTTACTGAGAAAAACCCACACATTAGTAGACCTGTGTGGTTCTTAACATGCCCTATAATTCTAGTGCAGTGATGGCGAACCTATGACACGCGTGTCAGAGGTGACACGCGAACTCATTTTTTTGGTTGATTTTTCTTTGTTAAGTGGCGTTTAAAAATATAAAATAAATGTCAAAAATGTAAGTCTTTGTTTTACTATGGTTGAAAATATCAAAAAATTTCTATATGTGACACAGCACCAGAGTTAAGTTAGGGTTTTTCAAAATGCTGACACGCCGAGCTCAAAAGGTTCGCCCTCACTGTTCTAGTGTATTGTCCTATATGGTTCACAGACCTCTGGGTGTCGTTAGACACTTGTTGGAAATTTGCAAGGTCACAACTTAGTTTCATAATGCTAAGATCTTAGTTGCCTTTTTCACTGTGTTGGTGTCTGTGCTGATGGTGCAATTGCAAAGGGTAAAACTGCTCATGTAGCTTGATTAGTTAAGTCAGTGACACACAATGGTGCTAGTAGTCAATGTGTTTTTGACTGTTCACACTTGCAGTATTAAAATGCCAGTTTCACTTTAAAATGTCCTTGGTGAAGTAGTAAAAATTATTGTTATTAAATGTTGATACTTGAATAATATTTTTATTCTGTGTGATGACATGGAAAATACATATAAAGTACTTCTGCATATTGAATAGGATAGTTAATCTTTTGTGCAATTATTTGAGTTGCTAGCTGAATTAGCTGAAAGGATAATTTTTAGATAGTCTGTGGTTATCAGACTGTTATTGGTTGTTCAGACTGGTTATTGGTTATCTGGCACATGCTTTTCAAAAGTAAATGAAGTTTGCCTGTCATAAAGAAAACAACTGACACCATTTGTAGCCAGTGATAAAATTTAACCTTTCAAGGGAAAATTAGAGTTTTAAAACCTTACATCTGGCATTATGAGCTTGACAGCTTTCTATTACATACTTAAAAGGATGAATTGGTGATGATATTAGCAAATGTGGTCTTTTTAGTATTGTATAATGAAAAATACCAACGTTTTGGAGATTTTCAAAACTCACTGAACGAATAGTTTCTAAATAATCGATACTTGATATATAATATCATGCATGGGTTAAAGATCCATTTTGTGTGCAGAAGAGACCAATGTGTTTTAATGTAACAAGTTTCTATTGTAATCTGTAAATAGGGTTTAATATAGTTTTATTTTTTTATTAATCCCCACCCAAGGATATTTCTTCCATTGATGTATATATTTTTTTAGAGAGAGTGGGAGAGGGAGAGACAGAGAGAAACATCAATGTGAGAGGGACACAATGACTGGTTGCCTCCTACATGTGTCCCAACCCCAACTGGCCTGGGGATCAAGCTTGCAACTGAGGTATGTCCCTTGAACAGAATTGAACCCACAACCCTTCAGGCTGCTGGCTGCAGGCCAATGCTTTAACCACTGAGAAACCAGCCAGGGGCTGACATATTTCTAAATTTATTGTATTTGGTGTGCTTAAAATAAAATTACAAGAGATATTTTGAATAAAATTAAAAATTTTAATATTGAAAGTAAAAGTATTATGGAATTTTCACTGAAAATTCTGTTTAGGATTTAGCTTCCATTTTGCAGCATTTACTATCCAAAGGATTACAATCTTAAAAGGCTTTTGAAAGTTTGTTTTACTTTCCATCTAATTAAGACTTCTTTTGCCATTCCTAGGTACAGGAAAAACACTCTTGGCACGAGCTGTTGCTAGCCAGCTAGACTGCAATTTCTTAAAGGTAAAGGGAAGATTCTTTTTTGTAGATGTTGAAATTAAATTTTATTTGAATTATCTTATGTTTACCGTAATGTTTTTTCTTTAACCAGGTTGTATCTAGTTCTATTGTAGACAAGTACATTGGTGAAAGTGCTCGTTTGATCAGAGAAATGTTTAATTATGCCAGAGACCATCAGCCATGCATCATTTTTATGGATGAAATAGATGCTATTGGTAAGAGTAACTTGTTTTTTTTCTTTTCATCCTCACCCGAAGAAGGGAGAGATCTATGTTAACATCAATCGGTTGCCTCCTGTTTGCTCCTGGACTGGAAATCGAACTTGCCATCTTTCCAACTGAGCCACCCAGTCAATGCAAGAGTTACATCTTTAAAAATTTAAACTTTTTTTTAAAGTGTTAGGAAAATTTTTTTTAATTTAAAAGAACTTTTTCCCCTCGCCTCTCATTGAAACTTCTATGAAGTAGCAAAATGAATTGGATGTTGACATTGAAAAATAAGAAATATTATACTAAACTCATTGACTTTGTCAGTATAATTCTTACTACTTAATTTTCACCTTACTGGTTTTAACCCTATCCACTAGTCATATTTTGTCTTAAATGATGTTTATAGAAGAAAAGAGTAACGCATATGAAATTCCATGTCATTTTTTTAGGTGGTCGTCGGTTTTCTGAGGGTACTTCAGCTGATAGAGAGATTCAGAGAACTTTAATGGAGGTAATATTTGGTAAAGGGGTTTTATAAAGAAATCAATGTTTATTGAATAAAGAAGTGAACATTGGATAATTGAAGGTCAAATATGTACAGTTTAAATGAAGAATATACTTAAGAATATACTTAAGCCTTTCTCCACTTAAAAATCTGAAAGTGATAGCAAGATCCTAAAATACATTTCCCACTTCTACAAATAGAAGGTAGGTAGCATAGGTAATGCAGTGTCAAATTCTGTCTGAGAATGGGTATTTGAAAATTACTTTTCATAAATTAAATCATTTGTTCACAAGGTATACAGTATTTTAAAATTATAGAGTCTCTTAGAAACCTTAAATTGAGGTATTTTAAAACAACACTGATACTAGTTTTATTCATTAAATTTATGTTAGCTAACGTATTTTGTGAAAGAAATAGACATGTGAGGCTAGCTATATTTTTAAAAGTTTGTTGACTGCAATTAGGTTTTCAGCATGTATGCAAGAAAGCTTTAGGAATAAAAAAATGTTTAGTGTCTCATATTTCTATGTGTAGTAGAGTTATTTGAAAAGATATTTAATGGATTTATTATCAGATTTGTAGGATAATCATTATATCCAGTTGTCATAATGTAAATTTTATGTCAGACATACCATAAGCACTTTATATGTTAGATTTTATTATTAGTTGTTTTTTTTTAATTTTATATATTTTATTAATTTTTTCCAGGGAGGAAGGGAGAGGGATAGAGAGTTAGAAACATTGATGAGAGAGAAACATCAATCAGCTGCCTCCTGTACACCCCTACTGTGGGGATGTGCCCACAACCGAGATACATACCCTTGACTGGAATCGAACCCGGGACCCTTCAGTCCGTAGGCCGACGCTCTATCCACTGAGCTAAACCAGTCAGGGCTTTATTATTAGTTTTTATTTTTAAAAGTAATGAAGTGAAAAAAACTTGAACATTGGAAATCAGATCCACATAATTTAGTTCATAATTTTTGACCGGATGGAAACTTCCAGACTTAGTAAAACTACCTAATAGCTATAAAAAGATACATAGTGAAATAATCTTGAAACTTTGAAGATGGAAAGTATATTCCGTAATATAAGAGAAAAAAATTGGGTTCCGTGAAATGATGATTTTGAAGATTATCTGTAGGCAATACATTTCATGGTATTAGGCATATAAAAATTGTGCCTGTATATTTTTTAATGATTGGGATGTTTTGTAAAATCTGTCTATAATTTTTATAAATATATTCTTAGTTACTGAATCAAATGGATGGATTTGATACTCTACATAGAGTTAAAATGATCATGGCTACAAACAGACCAGATACACTGGATCCTGCTTTGCTTCGTCCAGGAAGATTAGATAGAAAAATACGTGAGTTAAGGCTCTTTACTTGCTCTCCATTTCCCTTTGTCTATGTTCAGTTCTCTCTCTCTCTCTCTTTTTTTTAAATATGTTTTTATTGATTTCAGAGAGGAAGGGAGAAGAAGAGAGAGAGAGAGAAACATTAATCAATGATGAGAGAGAATCATTGATCAGCTGCCTCCTGCACGCCCCCTACCGGGAATTGAGTCTTCAACCCAGGCCTTGACTGGAATCTAACCTGGGACCTTCAGTCCACAGGCCCGCGCTCTATCCACTGAGCCAAACCGGTTAGAGCTACGTCCTCTTATTAACTGTTAGTGCCAGTAACAGAGTTAGTGACACTCAACTTCACACCAGAGCCTTGCAAGCCCTGGGGGAGACTGAAATGATAGAATCCTCATTCCTGGTTTCCTGAGATGGTCAATCCTGCTGGGAGCCCAATTCAAAACAACTTGCTTGAATTTACTATGATAAGAACCAAGATATTATACCAGAGAGGTCACCCCCAGAGGCTAAGCAAGATTAGATATATTGAAAATCCATGCAGGTCCCATTACAAAGCATGGTGAAATAGGTAAGAAAATAACCTATTTTTATATATTATTTACATTTGGTAAATGAAGCAAAAGGCTATTGTATATCATTGGTAGCCTATCGAATATTTAGATTTAAATTTAGCAAACATAGTGGTCTTAAATTTGGCTAATATTTATTGATCATCTAATGTATGTTAGGAATTGTTTTAAGTGCTGGGGATATAGCTGTGAACAAAACTGACCAACTCCTGCCTTTATAGAACTTACATTCTTGTCAGGAACGATAGATAAAGTGAATAAAACATATAGTGTACTAGATGATGGTAAGTGCTGTGGAGAAAAAAATAAAGCAAGAAAAGGGGACTAGGTAATGCCAGGAGCAGGTGTGCATGTGTGTGTGGGTGCGTGTGTTTAAAAGGAAATGGGGAGGGGGAAGGCCTTACGAAGAGGTTGATTTTTAAGCAATGATCTGCAAATGTGAAGGAGTTAGATAGAAATATTTGGGGGAAAATCATGCAGAGTGAGTAGCAAGTAAGAAGACTTTAAAGCAGATGCATGTCTGGAACATTCTAGGGGCAGTAAAGAGGCAAGGTGTCTGTGGCAGAGTAAATGGGGCATTAGTACTAAGTGAAATCATAGAAGTAATAGGGACCAGATTGTGTAGAGCCTTATTGATGCCATCCTGTAGGAACTTTGACTTTTATTTGTGAAGATATGGATGCCATTGGAGGATTGTAAGCAAAGGAATTATTTTACTTTGTTATGTTTTAACTTTTTATTGTAGAAAATTAGAAATACATCAAAGGAGAGATAAGAGTATAATGAACTTCTAACCCTAGGTACTCACTCATCCCCCAGCCTCAATAATTATTAACTCTTTACAGATGAAACTGTAACTTCTCTGGATGTATTTTTAAAATAGAGGTGACAGAATTTGCTAATGAACTGGATGTGGGGTGTGAACTAAAGGGAAGAACCAGGAAGACCTAGGTTTTTTACTCACACAACTGAAAAGCTGAAATTACCATCAAATAAAAACACGGGGAGACTGGAAAGATTAGGTTTTAAAGAGAGAATGAGTTTAATTCTGGGTATATTAAATTTGAGATGCCAATTAGATACCCAAATAAAGATATTGATTAGTAATTCTATATGCATCAATAGTTCTTTGGGGGTGGTCTGTGCTGGAGATACAAATGTGGATAATAGCATAAAAATGATTGTTTAAGTCTTGAGATTAGATCAGATTTCTGAGGAAGTGAATGTGAATAGAGGAGAGCTTCAAAAACTGAGCTAATTCTGACATTAGGAAGTTGAGATGCAGAACCATTAAAGGAGACGGCGAAGGTGTCCCAGAGGCAGGAGTAGAACCAGAAGCTGGTGGTGTCCTGAAGATGAGTGAATGGTTAATAGGAAGAATTAATTCCCTATCAAATGCTGATAGTGGGTTAGATAAGAGGTCTGAGAATGGACCTTTGGATTTTTGGAGATCATTGGTGACCTTATCAAAAGCAGTTTCTTTGGGGTGGTGGGAATTGGGAATGAAAGCCTACTTCAGATGGGGTTTCAGAGAGATTGGGAGGAGAGACATTGAGTTTAGACATTTCTTTCAAAGAAATCTGTAGGAAAGAGGAGAAGGGAAGTAGAACTGTATCAGAAATGGAGATGAGGATTTGGGGGAGTTTTCTTTTAAGATACAAGAATTTAATTTTTATGCTGATGGGATCTAGAATGAGAAATTAATAGTGCACTTTCCTTGAAGAGAGGTTGGCACTGTCTATGAATATAGACTTCATTTACAAGAATAGGAGGGAAGGCAGACTATTATAGATGTTTATGATGACAGTTTCTCAAATATGGAAGGAACTTGTAGAATTTTTCTTCTGAATACTTTTATTTTCTAAATGAAATAGGAAGCAAGTTCAGAGTGAAGATTGGAAAGGAATGTTAGAAATTTGAGGACAGAGGACAAATTATAAAATAGTTTTCTATAGATTTGAAAGACTAGACTAGGGTAGAGGCCAGCAAACCATGGCTTGTAGGCCAAATTCTGCCTTCTGTTTTTGTAGAATAAAAAATTAATTTGTAAATAAATTTATATTATAACACAACCATTTATCTGTCTTTTGTCTATGATTGCTTTCCCACCATAATAGCAGAAATTAGTAGTTGTTTTTCTTTCTTTAATCCTCACCTAAGGATATGCTTTTGAATTTTAGAGAGAGGAAGAGAGAGAGAGAGAGAGAGAGAGAGAGAGAGAGAGAGAGAAGTATCATTGTCTGAGAGAAAAATCGATGGGTTGCCTCCGACTGGGGATCAGGCCTGCAAGCCTGCAAACTAGTTATATGCCCTGACTGGGAATCAAACCCATAACCTTTTGGAGTATGGATGACCTCCAACCAACTGAACCACCCCGCCAGGGCAGAAATGAGTAGTTTTGACAGAGACCATATGGCCTGCAAAGCCTTAAAAATATTTACTATCTGGCCCATTACAGAAAGTATGCTGACCCCTGGACTACGGGAATCTAGTAATTGTACTAAAAGCCCTTTAGAAATTAATGGTCCAGAATAATTACAAATAGTTGATTACTGCCTCTTAATATTTTCATTGCTCATGTGAAAGAATTTTGAGCTGTAAAGATGAGCTGAACTAAAAATGTCAATTTATAGGTTTCCGATACTGAGCTCTTGCTCGGTACCAGATGTTGTGTTAACCTTGGGAATTCCCATTCTCAGGAAGTTTATAATTTGGACCTGAATGAAGCTAATTAATGAATTATCTGTATGATTCTTTTAAAAAAAATTTTAAAATTGATTTCAGAGAGGAAGGGAGAGGGAGAGAGAGATAGAAACTTCAATGATGAGAGAGAACCATTGATTGGTTGCCTCCTGCATGCCCCTCACTGGGGATTGAGCTCACAGCCTGGACATGTGCCCCAGCTGGGAATTGAACTGACTTCTGGTTCATTGGTCCAGTCTCATCCACGCTGACTGGGATATCTGTATAATTTTTAATAGAGATTGACATACTCTAGATTGCCTGATAATGGGTGTCCCATCAGAGTTACATTGTAGCAGTTGTTTCTCTTTCTATTCCATATCAAGTCCATTACTGCTATTAGTTCTTCATTTTAAGTCTGTCATAGAAAGGTTACTTAATAGTTGTTATCATAGATCTGATACCACTCGAGCCTACACAAAAAAAAACCACAGAAAAGCTACCGGTGCTTAATTTAGCATTTGAAAATTCCATATGATAAAATTGTATCTGATGACTATTTTTGGTATATTTATATTTGGCTTATGAGATTAAATTCCATTGTTGCTACAGTTGTTTAGTGTCTTGGTTTATTCAAATTAAATATTTGGTTACAGTTTTAATGAGTTATAGCTTGACAGATAATCTAAAGTTCACATGTGTATAACTTTTTTAAAGATGTTTTCAGATATTGAGGATATTTCTTGGTTTTAAAGTTTCAGAAGTATGTTTATTTCTTCTTGGTGTTGGTTTACTTAGAATATAGTTTTTGGTTGTTAGTATTGTGTAATGTTAACAGAGTTGATGCCTAGCTGACCAAATTCAAAGTAGGCTCTTTAGTTTAAATTTTCCATTTATGAGCATGAATCAAAAACATCTTTTTAAAAAAATTAATTTCCAGTGCTTTTTCCTAACCAGATTATGAAGCAATTGTGAAGCTCTCAGATGGTTTTAATGGAGCAGACCTGAGAAATGTTTGTACTGAAGCAGGTATGCTTTTAAAGTATAGTGTTTACTATTGATTTGATTTAATTTGCTCAAAATGTGTTGAGTTTGTCTAAAAGCAGAGCCTGGGCTTTGTAAGGAGTTGGGTGGTTGTTTTTTTTTTTGGGGGGGGGTGGTAGGGGTGGAGAAGAATGATTCCAAGAAGCAGGAGGGAACAGGGCACATACTATGGGAAAAGGAAATGCTATTATAAGGGTGCACCATTGAGGTAGCTGCTCTAAGCAAGGGAGGGCTGATTTTGATGAGATCCAGAGATACATACCAGAATGCCATTTAGCATTATCCAGCTGAAATATTGGGAGATTGGCATTTATTTACCAGCTCTCATCCCCCATTGGATGAGATTTGTCCTTGAGAATGTTAACTCTTTTGCACTTTGGATGCCTAGGGTAGAGTGTGGAAAGACATGCATGTGATAGAATACTGGTCCCTGAAGTAAGTCTGAGGCTATACAGAACTGTGCACCCCCACCCGTGGCTGAAATGAGACTAGGCCAGCACCAGAGAAATCTCCAATGTGGATGACATGTTTTCTGATGCTAGTCTGTCAGCTTTGAAAGTTTGATTTATGAATTTTGTGTTCGTACAGCTTGTGTAAATGTAATCATTTTAAATAGAATTTTCTCTATGGGTTGTGTGATCCTTTTTTTATTTCTGGTACCAAGTGGCTTTAATACCCCACATAATAGTCAATTAATTTTCATCCTCCACACAGAATCTGAAAATCAAAAAAGTTGATTTCTATGATAAGTGTTACAATGTCTGATTTCCTCTTTTTCCATATCACCTTTGGCCTTATTTTAACATTTCTTATACATTCACACAGTATTTAAAGGCATGGCTTTTCCGTAAGAGTATCTTTGTGGGTATACTGTGACTCTGTATCTGAATCAGAAGATGTTCAAATCTAGAAATTCAGTTTGAATCAGAGTAAATCATGCTCACAAAGACTTAATAATGAGCAGAAAATAATATTTAATAGGTAAACTATCATGTGGTTTGAATTACTTAAAGTAATTTATGACATTCTCTTTCCAAAGTCTCCATTGACCAAATTATCAAAAGATTGCTTTAGTTAAAATGGAATCCAAACAAAAGCTCTCATCCCCCATTGGAGGAGATTTGTCCTTGGGAATGTCATAATCTTAAAGGCTGATATCATCCAATTATGATGATCTCCATTTTTTCATCATATATAAAGGAATGATTTTTAGCTATTTCCAACAAAGCTTTTAGCTTTTTAATGGTGGAACATTGATATTTGGAGACATATTGAAATTCTTTGGAGTATTTTTGTTAACATATCTTCCTGTAGGTTAAAATACACTATATCCAGTTATAGTTGTCTTTTCCTTTCAAATCCAGAGATTATCATACTTTCTAGATTAGACTACATCTCAGATTCATTCACTTACTAAGCAATGATTTGGATTCACAAGGTTTGGAAAAATAACTTGCCTTCAGTTATTTGACAAGTAACGTGTCAAAAACTTGAAGGAAAAAATTGAATTACAATACTTGAATGGAGAAGTTATCAATCAATTTGTATATAATTAAGGTAATTTTAATACATGAATAATGGCATTGAGTTATGTTAAAGCGTACTGTTCACTTTCTAAAAATTCCTGCTCTCTAACCTTTTGATTATTAACAAGGCTATCAGAATTACTGGAGGTGTTTTGTGTTTTCCCAAACCATACATGGGTTACTTCCTTCTAGGGAATTGCTACCTGTAGAGTTAAGAAACTGATGCTTAAAATGTGTATGTTTTGTTTATACTTGGATTTTGTTTTGTTTTTTCAAGATGCCATTTGTTACAGGGGTTGTGTGATTTAGAATATTCAGATAATTAATCTTGTTTTCTAGCTTTTGATTTGGAAAATAATGTTCATGATAGCTGGAAAGTCATTGAACAGTGATAGTGATTTTTAACAGATCAGAACTGCTGATTCAGAAGTAGTAAATCTACGCTCCTTCAACTTTACTAGTACTCCATAGAATAACATTATTTAGTTTCCCCTGCCCCACCGCTGCTGCAGGTCGCCTCCCTCTGTGGGAGGGGCCTGTGGGCTGGGGGGCAGCTCATGCATTGAGCATCTGCTCCCTGGTGGTCAGTGCATGTCATAGTGACTGATCATTCTGCTGGTCGTTCCCCGTTGGTTCGATTTGCATATTAGGCTTTTATTATATAGGATAGGATAATTCACATATTATATAAAGCAATCACATTATTTTGTTTTCCACAGGTATGTTTGCAATTCGTGCTGATCATGATTTTGTAGTACAGGAAGACTTCATGAAAGCAGTCAGAAAAGTGGCTGATTCTAAGAAGCTAGAGTCAAAATTAGACTACAAACCTGTGTAATTTACTGTGAGGATTTTGATGGCTGCATGACAGACATTGGCTTAATGTAAAAATAAAGTTAAGGAAAATAATGTATGTATTGGCAATGATCTCATTAAAAGTCATGAATAAAAACATATATGAATAACAAAAATTAGTAACTCAGTATTTGTACTTTAAGATTGGTACAGAAGAAATTTGTATGTTTGTTAATGTTGCATTTATTGCAACAGAAGTTATAAGTGTGTTGTAACTTTTCATATTTGTTGTGTGAGCATTTTATAAAACATTGAAAATGGTTTGAGATAGTAGTACATTTCTATGACTTATTTTATATCGTTTGTTTTCCTCATCCTAAAAAGTTGAATAAAATCTGTTTGATTCAGTTCTACATATATTCTTGTCTTTTGTAAGAGTACATTTATCACAGTCCTTAAGGTTCTTTATTTAGTAAGTAAACTATTTAATAACCAAGATGAACTTGTATTTAGGTTAGGGGTGGGGAACCTTTTTTTTGCCAAGGGCCATTTGGATGTTTAAAACATCATTCCCAGGCCATACAAAATTATCAACTTAAAAATTAGTTGCTAATTTGGTCAAACATTTAATTAAGTCATCCCTAATGCCTTGGCAGGGCCAGACCAAATAAGGCTGGCGGGCCAGATGTCCCCCACCCCTGATTTAGATTGTTGGCTTTTTAATTTTATTTCAAAACGGTACCCACACTGTTTTCATAACAGCATCTTACTGTGTTTTCATGCCTATATACCTCCTTTCAGGAAGTCTTTAATTTTCACCTACTGTAACTAGGCTGTATAATAGTTAATTGAAATAGTAGAAGCACATCCATAACCTTTTAGATTATAATTGAAAGTAATATTTGCTAATAAACATTACTTGGTTTTTGCTTTTCTTAGGTTATATGAGATGATAGTTTCCTTTTTGAGAATGTCACAGTCTGGGCCCTCTTCCCAGAAAAGTTGGCACATAAGTATACATAATTTTGCACATACTAAAACTTAAGATTTATTATTTCCCAAGTTTACCCCTGGACTCCATAGGTGTCTATGGATACCATGCTGAGTGTCTGATGTAGAGGATGTTGATGTCAGAAATGTTCGAAACAAAAGTTCTGTTAGCTATACACAGTTCTTTCTCATATCATGTGGCAGTTAAAGATTTAACGTTACAATAGAAAATCATCATTGGGCATCAATTAAGATGATCTTATTAAAGGTGTTAAAAAAAAAGAAACTTGGCTTCAGTTTCATAAACACTAAAAAACAAACATTATATGACCTGGGTTATTAATTATACAATCATTCTTCAAAATAAAAACTTACTAACCTGGCCAGTGTGGCTAAGTGTTCAGAGCTTTGGCTCGGCCACCGAAAGGTCTTGGGTTTGATTACTGGTCAAGGACAGGTACCTGAATTGTAGGTTCAATCCTAGCTAGTTGGGCGAGTTTGAGAGGCAACCACTGGATGTGTCTCATGTTTCTCTCCCTTCCCTTCCACTCTAAAAATCAATGGAAAAATTATCCTCCGGTGAGGATTAATACACACAAACACAAAATTAGTGTATTGTATGCTTTTTTATAACTTTAAAAGAGGAAACATTACATAGTAGAAAAAATGGATTGCTGAAGCTAGCCACCTAAAACTCAAACTATTGAACAGTTCCATTTCTGTCTGTATGTTGACTGTGTTTCATAAATATGACAATATGAAAAGTAATAGGATATTTGTGTTGGAGGGTCTAGGCCAAATACCCATGTGATTCTCTTTATCCATTGTGATTTGCAATTAATAAATGACTTGCTTTTTTACTTTCGTGGTGGTGGTTTTTTCAGGAATCAGTTTGGTATACGAACCTTAAATGTTTAAAGTGTGGGTTCTTCTAAGCTTGATTTTCCTCATCTGTTTAATACAAAAAGGATAACGGTATCTCCCTAGGTCCAGAGAGAACATCATTTACCTAATCTTTATTAACAATATAGTATTTACTCTGAGTCCTTTTTAAAAGATACTGAAAGCCATGTAGTTCATCACCATTTGAAATATTCATACCCTTCAAGTTAAAGAGAGAGACCTTTCTTCAGTATTATGTACAATTTACTGAGTTATCCATTCCATTTCTATTTCTTAGGACTTTTTTCTATTTGCCATTTCTTGAGAGTTCCTAGTTGTCATATACCGAAGCCCACCATTTCAATTTGCTTAAAAGTGATGGGTGTTTCATTTTTTGTGGAGCATACTTTTAAGATGAACGCTTGCTTCACTCATCACTCTTGGTTATAACCTCACCACAGATTGCGCAGGATTCTGCGAGGGAGAAACCATGGTTTTCCTTTCGGATCCCAGCTACTGGTGGCTGGGATGTACTGACCATTCTTAGACCGAGGAAGAGGTTTCCGTCTGTGTGGAAGGGCCGAGCTGGTTGATTGCCCACTGCCTTTCCCAGGACCTTCAGGCCTTCCCTCCCTCCTGCCGCAGCCCCGCCTCCCACCCCGGTGAGCTCCGCACGGGCCCTCCGAGGCGCCGCC